CATGACCTGAGCCGAAGTCGGACGCTCAACCTACTGAGCCACCCTGATAATTACTTCCTTCTTTATACTTATCTATAATACTCATTACAGAGAACAAACTGTGCTTTTTTTTTTTTTTTTTTTTTTTTACTTAGTGGACATATTTAAGGGATCATTGGCAACTAGGGCTCCAAAATTATTCTTATTATTTATATCTATTCTGCACCAGTGAAAGGATCAAGCATACAAGAATGGCATAAACTATGTAGGTTAAACACACACACACACACACACACACACACACACAAAACAGGAAACCTTGTAGAGAACTTCAAAACTCTTTGGTATGTACCCAGTAATGAAGAGTTGAAGGGGCTTAAATAAGCACCTTTATCAAATTGCTATGCATCCCAAGTTCTCAGCTAGACTGCTAATACAAAAAAATGAAAAAATGTCCAGCCACTGCACTAAAGGAGTGCAATTACAAGACAAAAAAACATATAAACAATTGTATGCAGTCTAATTTGCAATAATAGAGGTATTTATTTACATGGTAAATATTCTGATTTTTGAAAGCATGTAAGTGGGAATGTAAAATTGTTTGATTTTGCGTCCAAAAGAAAAATAAAGTCAAGTAAATGAACAAGTAGTATTAAGAATTATTTTGCAACTGGGGTGCCTGAGTGGCTCAGTCGGTTAAGCACCCAACTTCAGCTCAGGTCCTAATCTCAAGACTCATGGGTTAAAGCCCCATGTCAGGCTCTGTGCAGACATCTCAGAGCCTCGAGCCTGCTTTGGATTTGGTGTCTCCGTCTCTTTCTCTCTCTGCCCCTCCCTGCTTGTTGACTCTCTCTCAAAAATAAAGATCAAAAAACATTTACAATTATTTAATTGTTAATATTATTCGGTATGGAGTATATAAATTCATACTGAAATAAGCTAACCAGGATATTTTAAGATTTTCCTAACACTAAACATCAGTATTAAAATATACAAACACAATGAAAATATCAACTATTATTTGAATAATGCTGCTATAAACCATCTGGATATGTTTTTTGGTAAAGACATGTAAACCTTTCTGTTAGGTATACATCTAAGAGAATTGCTGGGTCACAGGGTACGTATACAGCACTGTTAAAGCTGAACAAATAGTTCTACTAAGTCGTTGTTCCAATTTACATTCCCACCAGCAGTTTGAGAGTTCTAACTGTTCCAGATCCTTGACAACTCATGGCATTGCCTTTTTTTAATAACCTTCAAAAAAATTAGCTTAAGGATCACAAGAATTTGTAACAGTAGTATAGAGTTTCCATGTACCCTTCATCCAGCTTTCCCCAATGGTAGTAACTTACATAACTATGGTACGTTGTCAAAACCAGAAAATTGATGTTGGTACAATACTATGAATGCAAGCTTATTTGATTTCACCAGTTTTTACATGTGCTTTTTTTGTTTGGTATACAGTTCTATGAAATTTATCATGTATGTAGAATCATGCAATCATTTCCACAAGCAGGATATAGAACTGTTCCACCACCACAAACACAAACCTCTTTTGTGTTATCCCTTAGTATTCATACTTTTCCCCCACAAACCCTAATCCCTGACAACCACTAATCTGTTCTCTACCACCATAATTTTGTTACATCAAGAATGCCATATGAGGTGTGCCTGGGTGGCTCAGTCGGTTAAGTGTCCGACTTCAGCTCAGGTCATGATCTTGCAGTTTGTGAGTTCGAGCCCCATATCGGGCTCTCTACTGTCAACGCAGAGCCTGCTTCAGATCCTGTCTCCCTCTCTCTACCCCTCCCCCTCTTTTTCTCAAAAAATAAACAAATATTAAAAAGAATAAAAAGAACACCATATGAAAGGAATCATATAGCATGTAACCTTTTGAAATTAGCATTTTTCATTCAGCATAATGCCCTTGAGATCCATCCAAGTTCTTTGGATCAATATCAATAGTTTTTTCCTTTTTATTATTGAGTACTATTTCATTACATAGATATAACATAATTTATCCATTCAAATGTTATAAGACACTTGGGTTGTTTCCAGTTTTTGACTGTTACAAATAAAGTTGCTATGAACACTTGTGTATAGGTTTCTATGTGAA